CGGGCCCACGGCGGTCCTGCGGGCTGCGGGGCGTCCAGGCCGCACCACAGGGAGGAGTCGGCGCGGGTTTTAAGGGCCGGGGTCGGGGAGCGGCGTCCGCGCGGCAGGTACAGCGTTACAGTGTGTGTCGGGGCCTCCCAGGCGAGCTCGGGGGCCTGGGGGGGGAACCCCCACTTTCCGCGCGTCGGTTCACCCTGGCTTCCGGTGCCGCCTGCGGCCCACGCGCGCGGAGGCCTGGCCGTCGGTCGGTCCCGTGGCGGGGCGAAGGCAGACGGCGGGGAAGGGTCGGTTGAAACGCGCGGAACTGAGGCGCGACCGACCGAGTGAGTGGGCGCTGTGTGGAGACTGGGCGGCAGGGAAGCCCCCTCGCGGAGGAGGTGACATTTATGTTGACGGCTGGGAGGAGCCAGCCGCGTGTAAGTAGTGCGTGGGGGAGAGCCGGGGGAGCGACACGAACTGTTTTAGGTTTTCAAAGATGGCTCTCGCGCGGAGTGGCTGGAGTGGGGCTGGGGAGGGAGAACCAGAGGCCGTGGGGCGGCTGCTGCCGGGGTCCGGGCGGAGGTGGGGAAGCAGCAGCCGAGAGACCCTTTTCCCGGGCCCGTGACTTGCCGAAGGACACTGAAGCCCAGGACCCCCCAGTGTCCCGGCTGAACGGCAGGCTGGACGGTGCTGCTGATTACTAAGGTGGGGTAGGTGAGAAGGGGCAGTTGGGGGGGTGGGGGGTGCCGGAAGTTCAATTTGGGAGCTCTCCAGTGGGCGTCTGTCTCAAAGAGGCTGCGGTACAAGGTCATTCGGATCTGCGGGTCTAGAATTCAGGGACAAGGGGCGGTCTGGGGATATAAATGTGGCGTCGCCGGCTTGTGGAAGATGTTTGAAGCTCTAAGAATCCCGACTCTCGAGGATTCCTGACTTTCCTGAGAGAGCCCTGTTTATACATTTTGATGGAATTTTCTCTCTCTCATTGAATTTATTGGGGTGAGATTGGTTCATAAAATTATATAGGTTTCAGGTGTACAGTTCTACAGTCCATCACCTATAGGTTGTATTATGTGTTTACCACCCCAAGTCAAGTCTCCTTCCATTACCATGTATCCCTCCTGTACCCTCTCTGCCTCCCCCCCTAACACACCTTGGAAATTGTGTTGAATACCATCCGCTTCATTCGTTTTTTGCTTCCTGAGCTCCAGGTTTTGAGCACTAGGTGTATAGCTGGGAATGAGACCTCTTCCTGCCCTCAGTGAATTTTCCATCTAATCTGAGAAACAAGGGTGTAAATAATTAGTTCAAATACAAGGGGCAATGGAATGAATGCAAAAGACATATGGGGGCAGGAGCTGAGGGCGTGAAGTGGAAGGTGAGCGGTAATGGCAGACACCTGGGAAGGCTTCACAGCAGGTACCTCTCCCGCAGTGATAAGGGGTAAGGATTTCTGACCACATTTGGAGAGCATTTTAAATAGGGAGGGAGTAAGGGAAGAAAGGCGGTGTGGAGTAGTCAGTAGGAGAGACTGCTGCCCAACTTCACAGGCTCTCCCCTTAGCCCGCCAGTGTTAGGAAGGCCCTTTCTGGGGTCAGACATCCAGACATTTTTGCAAGCCAGGGAGCTTCCTCCCCAGCCTCCTGGCTGCCGGTCCCGTGGGCCCAGAACCTCTCCCCGGTAATTGCTTTCCGTAATGTGTTTGCTCCAAACCAATTTCACGCCTCCGTGAGGACTCCACCCCGCACTGGAGGCGCGGACCTCCCCACCACCAGCCTACCCACGTGTAACACGTGCTCTCACACAGAGAGCACACATTTAACACAGCAAGTACACAGGGCTCAAGTACCTGGACACAACAAACATACATGAACCTACACACGTGCGTACTCGAGTTTAAGACTCCGGTGCACAATCCTCGCGCCCAATCAGTGCAGTCACAGCTGAGTACCCAGCAGTGCCCCGGGCGCTGGTCCTTGGACGGCTTACCTGATCCTGTTCCTTTGCCCTCGGCGCATCTTCCGGACTAACGCGAGGAGGCGCTGCAGTACTCCTCACCTCTCTCGCGGTGACGCAGTTGCATGCTGCTGCCACCAGAGGGTACCCGCGGACAGGGCCCGATGCTGCCCACCGTCAGTGGACTCTCCCGCCAATGAGGGAGGCGGCAGTGTAGGTCTGTTGGCTTTGACTTTAGAATACTTTGTTCATTCTTAGTATCCTAGGCGCTGGTTTCTAATCCATGAAGGGGAGGCCAGACGATGGGCTCCGTTATAGGCACAAGTAGAGAGAGTAGACTCAAAATAAAGTTCCTCTGCAGGAGCATTTCCCCAACAGATGAAAGAGTGAGAGTGGGACAAGTCAGAGCATGTGGGCAATTAAAGAAGCACTTTTAGAATAACATTTTAGACAATGAGGGGAGGTGCTTGCCCACAAGGAACCCGTTCTGGGATTTGGGGCAAGAACCAGTTTTCTCTTGGTAAGGAAAACAGCTTCTGTCCTTGGTACTGATGGGAGAGCCACTGATTTGGGGGACTTCCATTCTTGACCACTCCGCTCTTCTTGGTCCATTTAGTGCAGAAAGAACTCATTTTGAAAGGTATTTCCCNAAAACAGCCACCTCTGTTCAGATTTGACAGCGACAGCTTCTGTCCTTGGTACTGATGGGAGAGCCACTGATTTGGGGGACTTCCATTCTTGACCACTCCGCTCTTCTTGGTCCATTTAGTGCAGAAAGAACTCATTTTGAAAGGTATTTCCCATATTCACTTGATCCTTGCACCAGCTCTTTGACTACTAATCAGAGCAGATAGTAATTGCTGTCTCTCACAGATGGAAAAGTTAAGCCAAAGAGGGGCCAAGGTCACATAACTCAGTGAGGGGTCAGAACGGGAACTTTACTCCAGGTCTTTTTGCTCCAGCCAACACTTCTTTTCCATTTACCACATGGCCTCAGTTCCACAGTCCATGAAAGGGCAGGGAAAGGAAATGGGCTGCTTCAGTTGCCACTATGTATGTGAGAGCTTTTAGCTACCAAATGTCAAGGACTATGCAGAAATCACACTTCATGACCCCAGCGTGGCAAGGGAACAGATGGAGGAAATACATGGATTCTAAAATACAGTACCTAACAAATAATGCACCACACCAGGGCAATACAAAACCTCTGGGGTCTCACTTCAGAGTTGGTGGCCCATTGGGATTTGTTGGCAAGCTTTCTGCCTGCACTCTGTGCCAGCTTGAGCAGAGGACTCCACTTTATTGAATATAGTTCAGGAAAATAAGCTCTTGGCTTGAGCTAGGTGATATACATCTTCAAGATCAGAGGGTCTTGCCCGGTCAGGCGTGGCTCAGTGATTGAGCATCGACCTAGGATCCAGGAGATCGCAGTTCCAATCCTGGTCAGGGCACATGCCCAGGTTGCGGGTTTGATCCCCAGTGGGCAGGGTGCAGGAGGCAACTGATCAATGATGACTCTCATCATTGATGTTTCTCTCTCCCTTTCCCTTCCTTTCTCTGAAATCAATAAAGATATATTTAATAAAATAAAATAAAAAGATCAGAGCATCTTTAACCTTGAGTCCTTGACAATGCATTATCCATTCTGTCCCACCAGAGAGTAACAGGCTTATTAAAGTGGTCTTTTACTGAGGGGACTGGTGGGAGTTGTATATATATGTGTGTGTGTATAAGAATAAGATGCACTGGGACAGGGAGTGAGAAACAGAAGTAATCAAATAGTATACACACTCACATATATATCCTTTGAGCTTTTGGAACTATGTACTATCTGATTCTATTACCTATGCCAAAAAATGAATGCAGTTACTTTTAAAAATGGGTCTTCCTTCATGGTTTATTTGATTGGTGGTGTTACTACTCATACAGCTTTAAGTTCAGTAATTGTAGCCCAAAAGTCCCCTCAATAATTTATCAGGTCAATAAGCCTCTTTTGTGTACCCAACACTAAAGCCATGAAACCACGTACTGACCTCCGTCTGACTTTTTAAGTACAATACACTTCGAAGTCTGGTCTTGCATGTTGGTACCTTGAAATACTTGGTTAATAAAGGGTTCTGACAGATATCTTTAGGATGTACAAGGATTATCCTCATACTTTAGTAGTGAGTTGGGTTTCCCAGACCTAAGTAAAGCCAACTTTTTTTTCTGCATGGTAGAATCTTCCCACCAGACTCATCTCTGAGAAGTTTCATTGAGTTTAATGTAGAGCCCAAAATAGATCAGGACTGAATGGAAACCACACTCTTCTCCCTTTGCCTCTCTGATGAATTGTCAACCAAGCATAACCAAAGGAAGCTCCCTTCTTGGGTCCCACCCCTTTCTGTCCCACTCTGGTAACTGTGTCTTTCAGGGTGCTGATTTTTAACGCATTAGCCTGACATTAGTGGTGTTCACTAGGCAAACACCACATGCCTGAATTGAACAAATGTCACTGAGATCCAGAGTTCCCTCCTGCCCTGCTCTGTCTTGGCTCAAACTCTAAGACTCTTTGGCATAGGTTTTCATCCTCACCTGAGCCAAATCGTCCTTCTAAACTTGCCTGGCTTGGCTACTATTAATTTTAACTAGCTCGGCTCTTCCTGGCCCCACCTGAATAACAGTTTCCCAGTGACCAGATGACCCCCATTTTGCAGGCCAGACTTGCTCTGTGTACTGAAGCTCAGGTCACTCTTCTTCTGTTGACTTGCCTGTCTTAAGTCTTTCTTGCCCACTGACCTGAGGCTCCTATCAAGCAAAAGTGCCCATGACTTTTGCCTCTAGAGTGACGACAACTCTACTACTGGGAATCAGAAGGAGGGAGAGAGTAAAGGGACCACCATTTCAGTGTCTGAGAACGGGGGAAGATGAGCAGAGTCATCAGCAATTAGCGGATAATTAGCGCTGCTGACCCTTGGGGCTCATCAGCGCTCCTGGGGCCAGCCCCCAGCAATCAGCCAGGGCAGGTCGATAGTGTCAGGCCCAGGAATGAATAGGGCTCATCAGCAGTGCGGGAGCTGGGGAGCCAATCAGGGAAATTAATAGCGGGAGAGAGAGAGGGAGGGAGGGGGGAGAGGAGAGAAGGGGGAAACAGAAAGACGGACAAGAGATACCGACATAGGTGAAAAATGAGGGGGGGAAATAGAATAAGATGCACTGGGACAGGGAGTGAGAAACAGGAGTAATCAAATAGGAACAGGGATAGAAACAAGGGCAGGGGAGGGAAAGCTGGGAGGAAGGAAAAGAATGGAGAGGACGGGAGAAAGGTGGAGGAAGAGGAATGGTAAGTACTTGGCCTGGTGTGGGCCCTCCAGGAAATTACCCAGGAGGCCAGAGTGAGGGACCGGGAGTCCACGACGGAGGAGGGAAAGATGCGAAGGAAGCAAGAGTCGACGCCAAGAGAGACCAGGGGAGAGAGTGTGAATGGGGCTGGGAAGAAACGACCGAGAAGGAAACGGACCCGAATATGAGTGGCCCAGAGCCTCGGTGCCCGGCAGCGTAGTGCGCCCCCTGCCGTCCCGCCTCACCGCCCAAGGGTCCTGTCCAGCCCACCCCTCTGGGCTTGCTTCTGGGGCTGCCAGATCTTTCGCCGCAGGGGCCAGGGATCGGACTGGCTTGGGTCGGACAGAGGGCAACAGGGGTTGGGGTGGGGGCGCTTTGGTCTACGCCTGTCCCTTTCCGTGCTCCCTCCTTGCCTGCCGCCTGCGCCCAGTCCACGCCCCAGCCAAGTGGGCTAAGTGGGGGGCGGGCTGGGTGGAAGGAGGGGCACTGGCCTAGCAGCTGCAGCCGCCTTCTCATCGGCCGCAAACTTTCACAAAGCGGTATGTCCGGACTCATCAATCTCCATTAATAATAGTTGGTTGGGCCGCGGGGGGCGGGCGGGGGTCCCAGGCCGACTGACGGGGCCGCTGGGAACAGGCTCTGCAGAGGGAGCGAGCGGGCTCCACAGCGGGCGGAGGGAGGAAGTGAAGCGTAATTTGAGGAAGATGGATGAGTCCGGAGGGCGACACCCCCAGCCCGCCCGCTCGCCCGCCCCCTCCCTCCTTATGAGAGAGAGGGA